TTACTCTCATTTTATTCATTACTAGGAAAGTGTAGAAATGGCAGCACTATTCCTCTGAAGACCACTTCCATTCATACTTTACAGTACCCTATCACAAAGAGTCCCAACATTACAATGATGTGATGACAAAGTGTTAGTAGCAATGCCTGTCACCTTTCAATACCAAGTCAAGAAATTTATTTGCAACAAATTTTAGAAAACCTTGACATCACAACCCTGTAGCAGTGGCTGTGTTTCATGTCCCCCCCAAACATAAAGTTTATACAGTGTCCAATTTGCTGCTAAAATCTGCTAAATTTACAGCCATATTTGAGGAGACTTTTACAACACCACCACCATCACCGAATTTATTCATTTGCGATTAACCATTACCATTTAAAGTTTGAGGGCCAAAATGCATGAGTGTTTTGCATTTAAAATGTTTGTATTCATGCAACGGTTAGAGTAATAACTCTTTAAACTGGTGACTGCTGGCACTGACACAAACTTGGAGCCATTGAAGTGAGGAGCAATGCAAAGAATGTAGAGTTTGGAGTGATATATTAACAGAAGCACATGCAGCAAAAATGCATTGTCACACATCTTCTGTGGTTGGTGGCTGTTGATGAACTTCACCCTTTACTGTTCCCCAAAGAAAATAATCTAACAGGGTCATGTCTGGTGGACAAGGAGGTCACCTCACAGATACACAATGCCACATCCATCACTGAGGAAGTGGTTGCCTCATTACATGTACATTATGTGTGGGACACCCATCATGTCAGAACCACACTGTCTCATGAGTCTGCAATGGTATATCTTACAGAAGAAGCAGTCTCTCTGAAAGAAATGCTATATATATGTGTCCTGTTAATGATCCCTCAATGAAGTGAGACCCAATGATCACCAATTATGCTGCACCAGATGTCTACTCTCCATCATTGCAGATGGTACACTTGCCGAAGCCAGTGAGGTTTTTTCAATAGACCACTAACTCATGTTCCTCAAATTTACTTGAGCACAATTTGTGAAGGAGACTTCATGAGTAAAGAGAATGTTTTGAAATAAATCATTATTATTCTGCAGCTGATTAACTGCAAACTCAGAGAAGTCCAAGAGAGCACTGAAGAAATTCTGTGCAAGGCAGAAAGGTGGTATGGGTGAAATTTGTGGCACAGCAGCACACACCCAACACTTCAATGACTGCATGCAGAATGCTGTGTATTTGCCTAATACTCATGCGTGACTGTTCACAAGAGCTGCCAGGACAGCAATTTCATTTGCTTTCGGTTTCATGATTGCCATCTAACAAATTTTATCAACTGTAGGGGCTAACAGAATTTTTCTTCAGGGTATCTTTCACTGTAGCTGCCTTGCTCACAGAGTTTCTTCTGCAATCACTGTCAATGAGAATAATGTCCAAGTGTTCTTCATTAGTGCACATCCTGATAAACACCTGACATAGTAACCTGAGTAAAGTACTGCATTCAACCAAAGGAAAAATGTAGTCTTGCTTGCATCACGAAGAACAGTGCAGCTGATTTGCAATTCCCCCTTTGCTGACGAACAGCACCATGGGCATGCCTGAAAGTCCAGTACTGACACATTTATCTGTCATATAGGGGAATCATAAAGTAGCTTTGCAACTTTAAAATTCTACACCAAACACATGTTTCACTTGTGTCATACTTGAAGTGGTAATATCTTAGTAATGACTGATCATAAATGAAAAAATGTGCTATTGTTAAGCTTGCCTCAAGTGTGGCTACAATTGTAGCTGAACAAACAGATAGGGCCATGTTTAAGATAAGTAAGTTGACCTTCATATCGCCATACGACTCCATATTAATGTTTTATAATGTATTAAGTAGCTCACCTGACAATGTAGAAAATCTATTTGAAAAAAACAATTATGCTGAAATAAGAGAATCGAGGTTGCAGTCTTAGGTGGGACATTCTGTATACAATTTTACAATTCTTAAAAAACACAAAGAAATAAAAATGAAAATAATATCTACTCAGTAATTGGCAGCGCCATAGCTCAAGTGGTAGGTCGCTGGCTTCCCACCGCGGCGGCCCGGGTTCGATCCCGGGTCTGGTCAAGTGGGATTTGTGATTGACAACGTGGTGCTGGGGCAGATTTTCTCTGAGTACTTTGGTTTCCCCTGCCAATCTTCATTCCACCAATTCCTCCACAATCACCCTTACCTGTCATCTGGGGCTGGTACAATAGGCCAGAAGTGGCCACAGTACAAGGCACTTAGTCCAACCCCACTAGCAATAAAAAAAAACCCAGTAATTACTAGTATCAACTGTACTAAATTTTTGGGAGTAAACACTGACAGTGCTTTGTCATGGAAGGACCATATCACTAAATTATCATTAAGATTAAATAAGGCCTTTTATGGAATAAGGGCTATAAAGCCGTTTAGGTCATGGGGCTCAATGAAGATGATCTATTACTCCTATGTACACTCTATTTTGTTTTATGGTATTATTTTCTGCGGTAACTCTCATCTCAGTGAGAGCATCTTTAAAATTCAAAACAGAATTATAAGAGTCATTACCAGTTCGGGTAGATATGATCCGTGCCGGGAACCTTTAAAAAACTGCAAATATTGCCACTTCAGCCTCAGTATATTTTCTCACTTCTTGTTTCTGTCATTAAGAATAAAAGTTACTTTATATCTAATTTTGATATTCGTGATATCAATACACATTACAACTATAATTTACATTTTCCATGCACAAATTTAACATTAGTACAGAAGGGAGTACCTTTTTCTGGAAGTAAGATTTATAACCACTTACCATTACATATTAAAACGCAGTCTAAAGATATTAAGCATTTCAAATCCTTATTAAGAACTTATCTTACAGGACATGAATTCTATAGTATTGATGAATATTATCATACAACTTCTCAATGAAACTTTCTATTTTGAATACTCTGATTAACTGCGGGAGGACTTTTATTATATATGCTAGTAAACTTCTGTTATTGTTACATTTCTTATTTTGTAAAGACACATGTGCATTTATATTCAAGAACTGTTGTGCTGTTTTGTTTTTTATTTCAGGATCTGTTAAGACTGTATGACATTATTGCTTTTATATTTTATTTTAATATGATAGGTTCTATTTTGGGTGTGAAACTTGGTCTCTGACATTAAGGGAGGAGCATAGACTGAGGGTGTTTGAGAACAGGGTGTTGAGGAGAATATTTGGACCAAAGAGAGATGAAATCACAGGGGGCTGGAGAAAACTGCAAATTGAGGAGCTTCATAACTTGTGCTCTTCTCCAAGTATAATTAGAATGATCAAGTCAAGGAGGATGAGGTGGGCAGGTCATGTAGCACGAATGGGGGAGATAAGGAATGCGTATAGGATATTGGTGGGAAAGCCAGAAGGAAAGAGACCACAGGGAAGACCACGGTGTAGGTGGGTGGACAATATTAGAATGGATCTTAGAGAGATAGGATGGGATGGTATGGATTGGATAAATCTGTCTCAGGATAGGGACCAGTGGAGGGCTCTTGTGAACATGGTGATGAACCTTCGGGTTCCATAAAATGCTGGGAAATTCTTGAGTAGCTGCAGAATTTGGGGGCTCCTCAAGAAGGGCTCAGCTCCATGAGTAAGTAAGTACGATGATAGGTTCTATATCCAGTAGGTTATAAGTTGACCTTGTATGAATTAACAGAATGCTAATAAATATGAATGAATGAATGAGACACAACACATAAATTAAGCACATCAGAATAGCACTATTCGTATTATGAGAGGGGGTGGGTTTCCCCATGCACTTAGACCAGTTATTGGTCCATTGTGTGCCCCCCTTTAATTTCTACTGTCGCCATACCCTACCGGTAACGGTAGAGCCAATGAGGTCAGCCCTCGGTACCTTGATGCTTCCCCCATCCACCAGAGGCACTGGAGACTACTTGGGCGGGAAAGGGCCTGTAATTTAGCTCAGAGGTCTCCTAGAGACATGAGGTTCTTTTATGTGCCGTAAATCTATGACACGGGACACATGGCTTAAAGTCCCTCCCAGAGGACTTGTTCCCTGAATTTTTCCACCCTTAAAAATTCCACGAACCCGCTTACCTTGAATCATGGGAACGTTACCCCTAGACTACGGAGGCCGCAAGAATAACGCTAAATATAATACTTATTATCCAAGCACCAACATAATGGATTCATTGGACAGAAGTCATTCTCTGTATGTAAAGTGGTGACATCTGAAGAAGGGAGTTGAAACACAAAGATTGTCATTGAGCCAATGATACTGTAGGTCCTAATGCTGTACATTGGGACCAAAGAAAGTTATGGCACAATCTATATTTAGGCAACCAATTTATCAGTCACAATGAAGATAAATGTAGTTAAGAGGGCATACTGATGGTAGGGAGACACCAATGGTAAAGGTAAAGCTGTCCCCTGTGCAATTAATCAAGCACCATTCTATTAAGACATATGGAGAGTGGAGATATAGCCCCACACATTCTTAACCTTGGCATCATATGGAGGAGAATGGTCAGTTCCACCTCCTGGCCCAGGAAACAGTGCCTGCCACCCACTGGATAGGAAACTGGGTGGGACCCAGAGCTGATATGGGCACTGGGGTGAAGAGAGAGATGTCTTTCCCCTGATAAGGCTTGAACTCAATTACCTAGCCATCCATCCTGTAGCCCATCATTATATTAAATGAGCTATCCTGGCTTCTAGAAGGTATTCATGAACAAAAATAATTTCTTTACTGAAATTCATTCTGCATTAGGCTGCTGATACTGCTTTTTACAAAGTTTCTCTTGTATCCTGCATGTCATCAGAAGAATACCCCTTCTATGTAATGCCAGAGAGGGAATGAAACCTGTAACTGCTCCTCCCCTAAATATTTGGTGCTCACTGGTATGAAGGGGGCAAGTAAAGATGAACCACAATGCTGACTTTAATGAATCATGTGCCTGTAGGCTCTAGGGCTATGATATAACATATGGAATTATGATAAGTAACATTACCTGCACCACCATCAGCTGAAGGTCCCAACATGTTATGCACACGATTGGCATACAACACAAAAGTGGGATATGGGATGTCATACTTTCGAGCCGCCTGGGACAAAGATAATCCCTCTTTCAGCACAGAGAAGATTGCTTCAGCCATAGTCTCAGGTCGCCAAGACTTAAGTGGTCCACGTTCACGGAACCGTAGATTGTGCACCAAGCTCTGGTTTGTGTTCCAACATTTCTGCCACATTGACTGAAGCTGGTACTGGTAGCTGTCTGCTGGAAGGTGGGAATCAGAACAACAGAGGACAACAGTCAGTGGATGGAAATATATATGCTGTATACATAATCACCACATTCAGAAACAATGAACTGTACTGTGGAATTCAAAAGTTCATCGCTGCTTCAACAAAAATTATATCTTGAGACAGATAAAATACAAAAACAATAAAAAAACTTACAAATTTTTATGTAAGAGAGTAGATTCGCTGTCCTGAAATCACAGAAGTCTGTTGTTATATAAACAATAATATCTGGCATTACATAATTTGTTTTTTATGTATGAGTTTGGGGGAGAGACAGATAAGCTATCTTCTTCCACTTTCCTTCCTGTATTCACTCTGCAGGCTCCTTAATTTGTGGGCATGTACGAAGTAACTGGATATTCTATCTGTACGTATATGTCAACAATCATATGATTATGTAAGATTTGTGGTTTTCACAGTGGTGTCTATGAAGAATACCGTCTTTTGGGATGTGGTGCCACATCCCAGAAGATGGCATTATTCAATCATATTATAACATTAAAAACCTGAAGTCTACAGGAACATGTACCCTGGAGAATCATATTCAGAATTTAGAATTTGAGAAAGACAAAAATCCTATGTTTGAAATGTAAATTGAATGTTTAAAATGCATTTGGCTCTATTAAACTAACGGATTTCTTAATTCCATTTAAAACACTTGTATTTCCTTATGAATCTCTCTATTACAGAATACAGGAACTGCATAGCATATATATATTTATATATCATGTTAAAAGTAAAAAGCACTGTGTACAACTGAATTATGGATATTATATGCTAGTACAAAAGTGAAAAATTGTAATAAGAGTAATAAAAGAACATATAGGACAGTACATTATAAGATCACAAACAGGCATAAATGAGATCATATTGCACATTACGTAACAGAAGCAATGGCTTGGAAAGGCTGTAACTTGAGTATGGAGAAAGATCACCTATAAAAAGAATAAAATTCTATTCCAATTGGAAGAAAATAAGAGGAACACAAGGAGCATGGAATAAGATGACAAAGACATTAAACCCACTGTATCAGATGAAGCAGTAGTAATTACTGGAAAACCTTCTACATATGAAGGTGTGTTTACATAAAATCTCATGTAATTTAGCTACCCCTCACTTCCCCATATCATACTGTGGAAAGAAAACAGACTCCATGTTAAATTAAAAATTTTAATTACTAATACTTGTAATAAAACAGAGCATATATCCTTAGTTACATGACAGTCATCAGTGAGCTCTTAACAGCGTCATAAACTCTTCTCAGTGCAAACAAACTGAAATTCATACAAATGTTTTATTACACCTCCCAAAATTTAATACTGTAACCACTTTCCCCACCCACTCATTATATAACAGTTATTTGGAATGGGGTGAATGCTGAGGTTCATTTCATAATGCTGCACCTTACACTAAGCCTTAACATTAATGTGGTTTATTTGAAATTATACTAATTTCATAACTGCATTACAAAAATCAAACTAAGCACAATGACTTCAGAATGGAATGAAAGTCATATTATAACAGAGATTAAACTAAAACTGAATGTAAAATATTGCTAGGTGTCAAATCATATGAATAACAAACTACTAGATCAACATCATATGCAAAGAAAAATGTGTTAAGTCCCTAGACAGTAATGTATAACTTAGATATAAGAGAGAAGGATTCATGAATGATTACTGAATTTCAGGGGCAGAAAAAAATTCTTGAAAATATGAGGGAAATCTTGCGCTACCATATGAACATGAGCTCCAGACACCATGGATCATTCAGAGAGACATATTGATCAAAATGTTTGCTCCACTCCATTCCTAACTGAAATGAGAATTGTTCAGTTTATATAAAAGTGCAGCTCAACACTTCTGCTATGTGCTGGCATTTAATATCCACACCCATAAAAGCAACAATACAGTATGTGACAAAATGAAGCAGTGAAACATGACAGCACAGGATACTTCCTGTAAAACTGTAAGTTACATGAATAGATTTTCCCTTGCTCTGTCAAGACATCCACTGGCAGAGGGACAGAAAACCCAGACATAAGATGTGTAAGATCAAATATACACTCAAACCTTGGAATTTCAAAGGAATTTTACTTTTCAGGCTCTTTCATTGCTTGTTTTTAATATGTATGAAAGAATATAATAATGCATTCTGTAATGTAAACATTACTGTCAACTCTCAGTGCTTGTCACTGTCAATAGTGTCTTGCTGCTTTTCAGTAAAATTAAAACTATGGCCCTACCTTATGCAGTAAGTAACAAGATTATTTTATGTAAATTTTCATCAGCTTTCATCTCTATAAAATAACAGATGTTCTGAACAAGACAATGTAATGGTTTTCTTTCCCTCTAGTCATAATAAAGTATTGCAAAATGCAGCAAATTAATCAAAGAAACTACTACAATTGTTCTTAGTCCATTCCTTCAATAAACTGTTTGCATTTCTGTGTCTGTTCAAAACTCCCCTACTGCATACAAAAGGGTTGAGTTACACTACTTTGAGACATCACTAGTAGCACAGCAAGTCCAATCCTCACAGTTTTTCATATTACTTCACTTTTAAGGGGATGAATTATCTATTAAAAAAGGGAAAAGTACTTCATTTATGGAAGACATTAAAATTTCAATTATGTTAATGAATCTATACATTATTTACACACTGAGCAAGTGGAAGTATTTGGGCTGCAGTTAATTGTGAGGCACAACAGATTCTCCATGCATTCCAACTTGCTATTTCCAAACAAATATGAGTCATACTAAAACAGTTTTCTTAAAAAGAAACACTCTCTGATACCTTAACTACAAATGTGATGTCATTAAATTTACAACACTTGAGAGATGTTCCATTGTGAGACATCCACTATCTCCTTCAATGTCATACATCAATATCTGAGTATCACAGTCTCCTAAACAGTAGGATATGATCTTTTTCTTCATAAAGAGTATCATATGAGACTGTGCACTGTGCATGCTATCTAAACACATATTAGTTATGAAAGAAGTAAACGTAACATTAGCTTTGTAAAGAAAATTATACACATAAACAGGCAAAAGCTTTATAATGCAGTTAAAAATAATAATATTACATAAATTCTGTGGTATACCCACAGAAGAACTCAAAGCAGATTCTAACACAAACATTCATGCAATCAATTCTTTTCTTCCTGAGAATGGAGGAGCCTTATCTTAAAACATATGCAAGTGAGGACACAAAAATGAGTTTCAAGCAGTAGTAACACTCAGCTAGCTTTCTGAAAGGACTTCCTTACTTGAGATCCAGAGACCAAGATGTCAGTTATGGTGCTAAATATACTGCATCATATATTAATACAAACCTAATTATAAGGATAAGTCAGTGCTATTTTAGTTTCATAACATTTGTGGGGAGGGTCCAATTATCGGATCTTTCAACATGACATGAAGTCACTAACGTCCAAGTCAGGAAGTTTCAGTGATCATTAATTGGCTGATTATCATTAGTGGTTACAATATGCAAGCAACCTCCAGGGTTACAATTTCAAAACTAATTTTATCAAATAATAAAACAGTTTATAGTTCTTAAGATAAAAGACAGTCAGATTCTTCAGCCATTAGTTCACTTTCCGGCATACAATAACAACTGATGACTGTTCCACAACACAGAGCAATCTCACACACTTATGAGACAGCACAGATTCAGTAGCTGAAATCAGGGTGATACAATGATTCTGAGTCAGTTAAGCCATTTCCATGTAATGGCACAAGAATATTCAAGTGTTACCTGAAATGGAAGAAACAAAGAACTTATGAAAATATGACAACTAATATGCTTATGGAAAGTTCAATCTAAAGTTATATTAAATTTAAACATATGACTATCAATTTAGAGACTTATTACTGCCTATAGGGGCATATCAGATTAGTGAGCTATAATACTGAATGTTGATCTCACTCTTGCATGCTAACTTTACACTCAGCATGTTTTGCTCTGTATATTTCTGAAGTAGTGATGATCTGTCAACTGGATCTCAAGTACAGGTAATGAACAGGAGAGGGTGCAATACCCAGGCTAGCTGTGAGCACGTTAAGGTTCAACACTGCACACTGAAACAAGGAACACTTCTCAGACTAAATCTCATTGCAGTCCAAAATATTGGTAGGCAACAAACAGCTACCCCTTCCCCTAAACCAGACATTACCAAATGAATAATTTACATTGTATCAGTTATATTTTTGGTGGGAAACATAGCCGAAGTTTATCAGGAAATTTGAGAAGGGGAACTTCTTTTATTAACATTCTTCTGCAGTATAACAGATAAGACCGTGTATGTCTAGTCTGTGTATTTTAATTTAGTGATAAACATCTACAGCACAAAAAGAGAAAAAAAATCTGCAAAATAACTTTCCACAACATTCTTGTTGTTCAGAGTAACTTATACCTGTTTATAAAAAATATAAAAGTAAACAAGTAACCAATATAACTATTTTGGAATGTATAGTGTCATTTATAGAGGAAAACAGCCTTTGGAAAAGAAATTCAGAAAAGCTGAATTACTGCAGAATTCCTTGCTTCAGCAAACAGCCAGACAGCGCAGTGACACGGTCAGATTGTGCTGCCAAACTATCCCTATAACTCATCGCTGCGATCGAAGTAAAGGGACACAATGCTATGCTTCTTGCAGAAGGCCCACCACCACCGGAACCCAGCAAGTCCCGTGAATTGGAACTCTGGGTCACGGGCACGTCTCAGTTTTTCTACAAAGGCCAGAATTGATGCCAGGGACTTTTTGGTTCTGCGGTTGTATGGCTGAATGGAGATTTCACAACAGAACTCCAGGACTGCATTCTCCTCATAAGCTGTGAGACCTGCTTCCTCCAAGACCACCATACGTTTAGATTTGCCAAGAATATTATCATAGAGAGTGCCCTTAGGAATGCCATAACGTGTCGACGCCTGGGTGAATCGCATCTTCTGTGTTACTACAGCATGTAT